GAGATCACAACCGACGGGATGGGATCGCAAAGGGTAGAGTGTTTCTGTCGAAAAAGGGTCATCAGCGATCTCGTCGTTTGCCGAGTGGCCAACACTCACCATTCATCTCTACACGTAACTTGTAATTGGCTTCTTATGATCACCTTTAGGCGGTAGCATTGGGCCTGACCGTCACTGCCATATCGATGAGCACCATCACACATCCAACGATACTCCTACTCACCTGGGACTTCACCGAGGGTAGACGCACGTCTAGCTCTCTTACCCGGTGCCTCTTCCGACGTAGCAACACTCGTCTCGTCATCATTCTTGACGGTATTGCTATCCTCGCGTCGTTCCTCTTCGCGGTCACGCGCCTCGTCTTCCTGAGCGGCTTGCTCGAGCTCGGCCTCGTGCTTGAGATCTCCCCATCCGTGGAAGCCACCCTTCTTGAGCGACTTGTCGCGTCCGTTACGTGCGACCGAGCGGTCCTTCATCAACGCCTGAGGCGACGATGCGCGGGCGGTACGAGTCATGACGAGTGGTAGATTGAGGGATTGGTTTAGATGTTCTATTGGAGGTAGTGGGGATTACGAGTTGGATTGCTTGTTATGGGATTTGTTGCGGATGGTTGGGGTTTAAGTAGTAAAGCGGGGGGTCACGCGCCACTCTGATCGCGAATGGCGTCGATTCATCCAGAGGGTGGGGCTAGATTTCGACTCGAGTCCATTGCCGCTGCTGACGTGGAACGACGCACCCCAAGTATTTCTAGAAATTCCGTACATTATTGTTAATCATCACTGGGACGGTTCATGGGGCAGTGTGAGCGGTCGGGAAGAGTGTGGTCAATGGCGTGTATCTAGTCGTGTCGAGTACAGGAGCGCATCAAGAGGTACTACGAGTACACGTCAGAGAGCCTGACAAGTATAGTCTATTCATCTAGAGTAATGGAGAGAGTACATGGTCTCTGTCGTCGAGCACGACGGCGTGGTGCAGAATGAGCAGAGAAAAGGATACGAGATGCGAGTCCGCTGCTCTTCTGAGCACAAGTACGAGCGTATTCTAGATAGTGGACGAGTGACGTCCTCTTTTAGAGTTGCCACAAGACGCCGGAGGGCGTTCCTTCTTGGGCATGATAGCCAGCAGCTCGCTCTCCTCCAAATAGACAGACCATGTAGACTAGAATCCGTCAATAACGTTTTTCGTCTCCCGTCTTGTCCAGTTGTCGATGCGCTTCTGCCTCCTCCTGAGCAGACTGCCACCGTCTCTCAAACAACTCTTCCCTCTTTCGAATATTCTTTTCCCTATCCTCATCTCGAAACCTTCGTACGAGAATATCTAGACAAGAGCGCATCAGCCGTTGCTACTTCCAGCGCCCACACACGACAAAAACTCACAACTGCCAAGTGTCAGGATGGGAAACGCCAACAACAAATTCCTCACCCGCTCATTCCGAACCATAGACATGTCTCTCCTCTATTTTCCTAAATTTTAACGCGACGTTTCCGTTATGTAGAGATAAACCGAGTAAGGGGTCGCCTGGTGTCGAAGG